GTTCGCGACTCCGTTCGCGTAGAATAAAAAAAAAAAGTAGTCTATGTGTGCTTCCAGACTATGCCAAATTTCATCGAAATTCGATCAGCCGTTTATGCTACAAACTCTAACAAACATCCGTCCATCTAAACTTTCGCATTTATAATTTTAGTATGATGTGAAAGTTTAGATGGATGTTTGTTACAGTTTGTAGCCTAAACGATTAAAGGAATCTAGATGAAATTTGGCATTGATGTAGAGATAGTCAAGAACTCATAAGCTACTTGATTTTGTTTTTTTATTTCACGCGGACAGAACACGGGTGAAAACTAGCTGTTCCCGTGCGGCTTCATCCGCATGATATAAACTTTATTTAATTGTTTACATTTGTCAAATTCATAATCGCAAATGTCAAAGTTTAAATGCACCAATGAGGACGATGGCCTTTGACATTGGCAGCTTGTAGTTTATAGTTCCTTTACCACATGGACGTCTTTTTCCAATTCATTTACACCCTAAGTTTAATAGCGTGAAAATATCGTAAGTGCAGGGTTTATTATATTAAAGAAACAATTGTTTAAAAACATACTATGATTGCTGACATCCTACGCCACGAATTAGTGTGTTTACGCTTTATTACATAACAAAATAAATAACAATTAACATACAAATGATGTAAAAATACTTACGCTCCAATTTGCTCTTCTTTGTTTCAATAAATGTCCCAATCACTGGCAGCATTAAACAAAAATTCACATCAAGTCAAACATTCAACAATACAATAAAACATGCAAAACTTATCACAACTAGATGTTATTTAAAAAAATGATTAGAACCAAAACATGAAAAATGTGTTACGAAAACAATGCAATTAAATGTAATCAAAGATATAAAAATATATAGACGAGGCAATGAACAAAATTATTTTACCGGTGCTTTCTCTAAAAGGTAGTAAAAAATAGTACCTTGTCTCTTTGTATTGAAACATAATAAACAATTTACAAAGTTATAAGCTCTATTGTTACGAAATAAACTGAACAAAGTAAAAAAAATAAACATCATCATCATCCACTTCCATACATCTCTATCAGCCGTCATATCTGAATCCACTCCTTTCTTAAGCATATCCTCTTTCACACAATCCATCCATACTTTCTTCGGTCTTCCTCTTCCTTTGTAGCCATCCACATTCAATCTTAACACTTTCTGGTTTATGTCCCCATCCGTTCGCCGCATATGTCCATACCACGCTAACCTTTTGCTTCTCAATTTCTCCACCACTGGCGCTACTTTGAAACTTCCTCTAATGTACACATTCTTAACTTTATCCAATCTTGTCACACCACATATCCATCTTAACATACGCATCTCAGCCACATGCAATCTCCTTTCATCCGCAACTTTGGTGGCCCAACATTCAGATCCATACAATACGACAGGTCTTATGATGAACTTGTAAAAAAACATGTAAAGAAAAATATATTTTTCTTTAATCTATGGCAACATTAATCTTGTATCTCTCTTTTTAAATGTCAGTATCATTGTGAATACATGCGGTTTTATATTGTCAAGAGAAATAGGAAGATTTAATATCGTTTCTTTATATAATTATAGAAATATATAAGGAGTGGAAATCATCTTATAAACATTTAAATATTATTTAACTAGCTGTTCCCGTGCGGCTTCATCCGCATGAAATAATGAAAATTTTATTATATTGTTTACATGTGTCAAATTATCTATTCCAAATGTCAAAGTGACATGACATGATGACAAACCATGGCAAACTTGCTTTCTTGTTGTTGGCAACAACTGATGGTCTCTTTCCCACATTAGGGTTTTTAACCAAAATATTTACACCTATGTTTAACGGCGTGAAAATATATAGCCTAAAGCGTGACGTAGTGTACGGCTTTTTATAAAAAAAAAAGTGTTATTCAAAAATATGCTGTGATTGCTGACATCGTAGGCAACAAAGAAGTGTGTGTTTACGCTTTATTATAATAGTATAAATACCTATTGCTATTGACAATTAATTAAAATGTAATTAATTATATTGACATATGACTTGAGGATATATTAACAGACAGCATTACTGATATGTGAAAATTATTTCAAGTGAATTCTCAACTATGCCTCCTCTATATATTTTAAATATCTGTCTAATTTAACATTTTAGATGAAAAACAAATTAAAAAATACACAAACAAAGCTAGGGTAAAATAGCGATTTTACACTTGTATGATACATACTATTTCCTCCATCTCCAATACAATGCTCCATACAATCTGAGAGATCTTCAAATTGGTAGTCGCAAGTGTCCCAAGCACATTCGTATGTCATTTCCATTGGAGTCTGAAAACAAACAAATTCACATTTCTAACTGTAACATAAATAGGGTAGGCAGATTAGGGATTTTGAAATTTTACTTTGTTAGAGTTTGTAGCCTAAACGGCTGAACGGATCTCATTGAAATTTGGCACAAATATTAAACCAAGCCTGGTGTAACCCATGAAATACGGTTCATCTGCGAAAAATATCAGGTTCCCTAGGGATATGTAGTTTTTGTTTTACAATTTTTACTCGGCATGTTTCTAATACCGAGCGTACTAAGTAGCCGGTAATAGCTAAACAATAGTTTTTTTATAATAAGCGATTGAAGTCGTAAGTGTGTTCTTCCAGACTATCCCCAATTTTTCTACGCCAAATTTCATCGAGATCGGTTCATCAGTTTAGACTACAAACTCTAACAATTATCTATCCATATAAACTTTCGCATTTTAAAATAGCTGTTTCTCGCGTTTTCGTTCGAATTAAAAAATATAGCCTATATTACTCACAGATAAATTACCTTTAAAGGGTTTTTTTTTTATATTATAAGGTGGCAAACGAGCAAGCGGCCACCTGAATCCACCAAAATGG